GTATATACAACAATATACAGTTTCATGGGGTAGAATACTTTATTTTCCCTTCATTTTAAGTTTTTTAGCAAGCGCTAAAAGCTTATTGGTCCTCTCCATCTTTTTCCACTCTCTTTTTAGCCAACTCCTCTTGTTTTTACATAGGCTGTCGAAAGGCGCTTGAGATCGAGTAGTTATTTTTCAGTAGAAGTGTCTGTTTTCGGTGTTTCACCGAGGTTGCGTGACTCTGTAAAGCTTTCCATCCTCTCGATCCGTATAGAATGACATCGTCACACACTGTACACAGAGCTTTACCGGCGACATCGAGCTTTTTCACGAAATCCGACACAAGCACAATGGTTCCTCTTTACTGTTTTCTACTGGGGACACCGTCAGCTTTCTATCCAACCAGTCCCATCGAAACGTGTTTTTCAGAGCCGCATCTATCTGACGCACTTTAGCTTCGCCGCGAGTCTCGATAACATTCGGCATTCGCGAGAAAGGGGTTTAGGAAGGCGAACACGGATTGGTTGTGATTTATATTTGCCGATATAGCGACCAATCACAACAAGTAAGACATCATACACGTCCAATCGCAGGGCTGTTTACAATTGGAAGATGGAAAGACTGATCGGGAGAGCTCGTGAAAACTCGACGATAAGGTACCTGACCCCCCTAAAATTTTCTCAACGGATTTAGACGATTCACAAAAATGATCAATTTAAGAAATAAAACGGCGGATTTCTGCGTATCCGCGGAAAATTGCCATCACTGAACTATGAAAATTGAAACTAATTCATCAAAACAGAAAATCAAGCGAAGAAATCACGAAATAAATTCTATAGCCCCCCCAAAGAATTAATTTGGAATTTCCTTGAGCGTAGCTCCAACAGAACGATCAGATATCAGTAAAATGTAGGAGACTGGACTGTCTCAGAAGTGTTTGTTATTTATTCCTTTGTTGTGTACTGTATTCACAAACGAGGAAATCACAAAAGAAATACTGTAGGGGGGCCAAAGAATTTATTTTGTGATTTCCTGGCTTGATTTTCTGGTAAAAAAAAACAACAGACAGCTCTCCCTTTTTTTGGAGCTGCAACAAAAACTTGCTACATAAAGCAGCGACACAGTTCACTGAACCAACAGCAAGTTATAACATTGTAAGCATGTCTCCAGCGAGGAGCCATCTTGGGGCCGACATATTACTGTAATGAGTAATACACAAGGCGCACCGGATTTTAAGGCGCGTTGTGGGCTTTTAAGAAAATGGAAGACTTTTTGGTGCGCCTTATAATGCGGAAATGTGGTACCTGTAAAGCAATGTTTGAAATTTTTGGGAATATAGTTTGTGGTATATTTGATTTAAACTCTTAAAAGGCATTTGTCACCACTTTTGGTGAGTGTCAATTGCACACTATTTGTGTTGGGCCTCAGTCCTTATCTCACTTTATGTGTGCAAATTGTAAGGTGACCAATGCCCTCGCCTTCAAGACAACCAACAGTGTCCGAAAATAATATGGCCTTTGTCTTGACACAGAACAATTGTGCCTCAAGGTTTCACCCTTTCAGGGACAGCGGTTACGACAGTGGACAGCTTCTCATGTTATCAGGTTACATGTTATCAGGAGTGCATGAAAGGGTTAAAGAAGCAGCGGCACGGTGGACGACTGGTTAGCACGTCCGCCTCACAGTGCAGAGGTACAGGGTTTGATTCGGGCTCGGGCCTTCCTGTGTGGAGTTTGCATGCTTCGGTTTTCCTCCCACATTCCCAAAATATGCATGGCAGGCTAATGGAACACTCTAAACCAAGGGTGCCCAAACTTTTTGGACCAAAGATCTACTTTTTGATCAACCAAGCTCCCGCGATCGACCCATTACCGCGCAACGGCGCATACGCACGCACTTGCACACGCATGCCATGATGAGCAACAGCAATAACGGCTCCGAAGATGAACGAAACAGAATAATAAAGTAGACCCAAGAATTTCTAAATAGGAAATCACTGCCTACCTTAGTGGGAGACCTGACACGGATGCATGTGACGCACTTTTGCAGCCCATTAATTATCGGAGCTCACGCGTACCGTTTTAAAATGCTTCTCTCTGCCCTCCGGATTGCCATTCTTTGCCAGTGCCATCGGTGAATTGTACACGAAACAAACTTTGACTGATAATAACAAAAATTAAAGCTATATTGCAACAGCTGTGATCGCAAGCTGTAATTGCAGACTGTTGAGCGCTAATAACTTCCGGTGACGCAGGTCACTTGGCACTGTAGGTTAAAGGTGACCTGCTTTATTTTATTTTGTTTTTTAAATAGCTTTTGTGAAAGTGAGACTGATAGGATGCTTTGAGTGAAGTTGCATTAGCACAAAAAATATATTACTAACATGCACAAAGACACACAAATGTTTGTTTGTTTGTTTGTTTTTTCCTCGATGCCCCCTTGCAATCGACTTGGTGCCAGTCCGCGAGCTACCGGTCGATCGCGATCGACGTAATGCCCCCCTCTGCTCTAAACTGTCCCTAGGTGTGAGTGTGAGCGCGGATGGTTGTTCGTCTCTGTGTGCCCTGCGATTGGCTGGCAACCAGTTCAGGGTGTCCCCCCGCCGACTACCCGAAAACAGCTGGAATCGGCACCAGCACAACCGCGACCCTCATGAGCAGGCGTCGGCAACCCAAAATGTTGAAAGAACCATGTTGGACCAAAAAAAACAAAAGACAAATATGTCCGGAGCTGCAAAAAATTAAAAGTCTAATCTATATTAGCTATCTTAGCCTCCTATGAAAATGACTAAACTGGCTACAAATACACAATGAGCCTTCACGATTAAATGTTTTTTTTTCCCTGCAATGCATCTTGTAGAGAAGGGCTGCCCAACTTTTTTGATGGAAGATCTACTTTTCGATCAACCAACCTCCCGCGATCGACCCGTAACCACACGCGTGCATTAACATGCATTTACACACGCATGCCATAATGAGCAACAGCCATAATGGCTCCTAAAATGATCGAGGCATGGGACGCCTTTTTGCAGCGTGTTAACTATCGTAGTTCACGTCTCACGTTAAAAATGCTTCTCTCAAGCCATCCACATTCCCATTCTTTGCCAGTACATTCGGTGAATTGTACATAAAATGCTGATTTTTTTTCACGACAGCCACCTGCCTGGCATCCCGTCCTGATAATAAAAACGTGTGTCGCAGGCTTTGATGCAAATCCTCATTGACAGAAATGTTGACCTTTAAGATTTATTCGACACATTTTTAAAGCTTGGAAAACATTAAGAATGTTTGTGCCATGTTTGTCCTCATACAGAAACCATATTAATACAAAAAATATATTTCCCTCCCTCATCTTTTTCCATTTTCAAACATTTTTGAATAAGCTCCAGGGAGCCGCTAGGGAGGTGCTAAAGAGCCGCATGCGGCTCTGGAGCCGCAGGTTGCCGAGCGCCGTAAGCTCCAGGGAGCCGCTAGGGAGGTGCTAAAGAGCCGCATGCGCTCATGAGGATAAACAGATTAGAAAATGGATGCATGATTTAAAGAAACTTTCGGCCACTTGAGGGTGCTCTGAAAAGGAGCATGCACTGATTTGGAAAGAGAATTAATGAGAAAATGAGGATTGAAAAAATATTGATATTTTGAGACTTTTTTGGTGGTGGTAGGGGGGGGTGAATTTGAACCGAATGTGTCATCCACTCGTGTTTTGACAAACTCCTCTGGGCCAGTTTCTAAACCATGTGGCCTCATGAGTGTCACGGGTGAGCTGTTGGCAACCTCAGCTGACTTTGGCCCAAGGTGGTGCACACCCTCCACTGGTCACCAGAAGATGATGATTACAAAATTTCACCAGCTAAATGTTCCTGATGTTAACAAGTGGCTTGTGATCTTTGAAACTGCATC